TTACCTGATCAGAACTATTATATCAAACCAGTCGTTTCATTATGATGAATAGTGACAGTCCATTTCATTTCCATTAATTCATTGTGGACCTCTTCTTCCATGTCATTACCCTGCACGCGCACACATGTGTTTTACTTCAGCTTAATATGCTTGTGATTTACAAGTAAAGCTGTCTGGCTCACTATCAGTACCTAACTGGGTCCCAGCACTTTATTTGATTAATTAATTAATTTATATTTCCCTGGAAGTGTATATGATGTCGAGGAAACAAGTGTTGGTATTCAAAGAGTTATTATTACATGGCTGTTCAGCTATTAACATCACTTTTTATTAGTTAAAAATATTTTTACTCAAATACAAATATAATATAGAATTATAATACCATATAATACAACGTTAAGCAAATGCATAATGTAAAATTAAAAAAAAAAAACTACAGCTATATTTGTTACAATACTTTTACAATATCACTGCACGACATATGAAACTATTAGTCTGTTTTCGAGGTTGTGTTCTGCCATCTAGCGGTCACGCTGGGTAGCACAGTGGCGCCTCGCCCTACGTCATATAATAATAAGGAAGTAGTGGCCAGATTAACCGCACTAGTCTAGGTGGAGGTTATTTTGGGACCCTATTCTTCTGTATGTATTGTAAAAATTCCCTGTACGAACACACGCGGCTTAAAAAAAAGCAGTGATGTGAATTGTCGGCTCCATCGGCTCATCCCGCTGTAGCTAGTTATTTCCCCCCAGTGTGCTCTTTCTCTTTCCCTCTTTGCCTTTTATGTGGAGAAGATCGATGGAGAAATACTCACTTGTCAAAGTGATCGGTGAAGGCTCGTTTGGCCGGGCCGTGTTAGTGCGGTGTAAAAGCAGTCAGGAAAAATATGTGGTGAAGGAGATTCAGCTGCCAAAGGTATGTGCAAGGAAAGGAGGGAATGTCCTCACCTGTTTGGAGCAAACGGATCAGTCTGATTCAAATCTTCCCCCGAAACTGTGATGATTATAAAACATTCAAGTAAAATAAGACTTGTTGGAATTCCAGGCGTGATGTTGCAGCCTGGGGTCGGATATGGAAATTTTTTATTTTATTTGAGTTTATTTTAGTTTTTTGCGCCTTGCTGATAACCTGCCAGATTGCTGCTTACACTGAGACATGGAAGCCGTTTGTTGTCAGCCTGCCTTTGTTTGTTTGTTTTGTTTCGCGCTGTATGGAATACAATCATGTTTGCATTTGCATTTTTATAGAATCAATCCAAACTGGAGAATTCGAGGAGGGAAGCCATCCTGCTGTCCAGAATGAAACATCCTAATATCGTGGCTTTCAGGGAGGCATGCGAGGGTAATCCTAAACACGAACAACACTCGCTTTAAAAGTCATTACAAACCTTTTATGAGCATACAGTTATGATTGTTTGGATTTCAAAATAGCAAGTGTGATTGTGTTTGTTTAGCTGATGAACTCCTGTGGATTGTTATGGAGTACTGCAGCGGAGGAGATCTGCTCCAGAGGATCAAGCAACAGAAGTCAAACCAGTTCAGTGTTGATAATGTATGTCCTGACTTCCTGCACTCATCATCACAATTACCCTTCCCTACTTGTGTTTCATTGGGTTTTTAAATTCTTTTTTTCAGATCTTGAAGTGGTTCGCTGAAATGTGCGCAGGTGCAAAGCATATCCATGATCAGCGAGTTCTGCACAGAGATCTGAAATCCAAGGTACAGTCACGTCTAGGTTTTCTAGCTTATGCATTTTACTTTGTCCAGGGTACAATAATGAATGTGTCTTCTGGTTCATTCAAGTCAAACCTTCCTTCAACATAGAGAGAAGTATCAGATTTCCTATGTTTGTTCTCTCAGTTCTCTCAGTCTGAACACTCATGTCACTCGGTAGCATTTACTGAACAAATTCAGCTCTGTAATTCCAGATTTCAGCTAAATTACATCTTAAAAAAAGATATCCATGATCAGCATATTTTAGCCCAGTATGTAAAAAAAATATGCAACAGACCTATAGACAGTGGCTGTGCTTAGGAGTCACTGCACCTAGTCCTCCGATTACCACTTGGACCACTGTTACCTTCACCCTTCTCATCTTCTTGAGCTCTTCTCTGACCCCGTGCTACTTCTCTAGCTTCTTGTGTTCCTTCTTCCTGATGTTACTGCCATTTTGTCCGTCTGTATCTGGAAGTCCCACAGGATCTTAGCTCGCTCTAGGGGGCGTGTCCGATTTTGACCTCGGAACTTCCAGGCCATATTCGGCACAGATGTTTCTGTACACTATGCCGGCCACTTGGATATGGCGTTCCATGTATGCCCTGCCTACTAGCATCTTGCATCCTGCTGTTATGTGCTGGATTGTCTCAGAGGCATCTTTACACAGCCTGAACCTGGCGTCTTGCCTGGTGTGATAGACCCCAGCCTCTATGGATCTTGTTCTCAGAGCTTGTTCCTGTGCTGCCATGATTAGTGCCTCTGTGCTGCTTTCAGTCCAGCTTTGTTCAGCCACTTGTAGGACTTCTGGATGTCAGCCACTTCCTCTATCTGCCTCTGGTACATTCCGTGCATGGGCCTATCCTTCCATGGTGGTTCCTCTTCTTCCTCCTTTTTCTTGGGTTTCTGCTGCCTGGGGTATTCACTGAGCATGCAGTGGGTTGGGGCCATCTTCCTGATGTATTTGTGGATGTTCATTGTCTCATCCTGGACTGTGGTACTGACATTCACCATTCCCGGGCCTCCTTCCTTCCGCTTAGCATACAGCCTCAGGGTGCTGGACTTAGGGTGAATCCTCCATGCATGGTGGGGAGCTTCCTGGTTTTGATGTCAGTGGCTTCTATCTTCTCCTTTGGCCAGCTTATTATCCCAGAAAGGTACCTGCTCACGAGCGGAGCGTAGGTGTTGATAGCCCGGATCTTGTTCTTACTGTTCAGCTGATTTCTCAGGACTTGCCTGACTCTTTGCGGGTACTTCATGGTTGCAGCTTTCCTAGCAGCCTCTTCATGGTTCCCATTTGCCTGTGGGATCCCCAGGTACTTCTAGCTGTCCTCTATGTCTGCAATGTTGCCATCTGGTAGTGTGATTCCCTCAATTCTGACTACCTTCCCTGTCTTTGTTACCATCCGAGTACACTTCTCCAACCCGAATGACATTCCAATGTCGTTGCTGTATATCCCGGTGGTGTGGATCGGTGAATTTCATGTCAGGCAAGCACAATTGAATCCAAATTGGAATCATTTTGCTTGGTTGCTTGGTTGTTATAAATGAACAAAAATGAAACTGCTGATCCAGATCAGAAACATTGCGACCCATCTATGTGATATAATCTCATTTTGCCATAATTGGCTGTACTTATATCTTGTGTCATGTTAAATCATCACTTATCTTTCATCCTCACCCAGAACATTTTCCTGACCGATAATGGGACAGTCAAGCTTGGAGACTTTGGCTCAGCCTGTATTTTGAACAGGTAAAGAACATGATGCTGTTCAGCTTTTTAAAGTTAATGTTGAGTTTGTCTAGTTTTAATTTGATTGTAAATTTGTTCCAGCTCGAAGGCTTACGCTCATGCATATGTTGGAACTCCGTATTATGTGGCACCAGAAATCTGGGACAATAAGCCGTACAACAATAAGAGGTATGCTACTGTGAGCGTTCGGCTGGATCCTCCGGTTTATATCAAACAATATAAAGATGAAATTATGCTTCTTCTCAATAGATCAGCGTCTGTGCTTAGAAAATGTGTGTCATTGTAACAAGAAACGTTAAAAGCAGAAATGTAAATATACACTCACCAACCACTTCATTAGGTACAGCTTGCTATGACTGGGTTAGAACCCCTTTTACCCTCAGAACTGCTTTAATTCAATAGGAGGGTGGAAAGATT